GGGTCCCTGAGCGTGTGGCAAAACATTGCATGTATAGGTCCACGTTTTGGTATAGCCCCCATATAATGGTACCTACCGATATTCGGTATTTTGATGATTTATGCCATATTTTTTCACTGATTTGTGTAAAAGTTGGTATTTGTGGGTCATAATGGGTCCTAGGTCGTGTGGCGAAACATTGTAATTATAGGTGCACGTGTTGGTGTAGCCCCCTTTTTAACGGTACCTCCCGATATTCGCATTTTAATGTTTTTTGCCACATTTTTTCTAATGTTCTTTTACCCTAGGGTGGAGGGTATTAAAAGTTTGGCCCGGCCGAACTTAATGTTTTTTTACTTGTTTTCAATTTGTTTTGTCCATCCCTAGAGATTATCACCAATTGTGTATGGCCATGAGCTTGACGTTTTTTTGTGAAAGTTTTCATTTGGAATTTTTACGTTTGAATATTTGTCTTGTGTTGCGTCACTTGGTTGAGGTTAAAGCATGCTTAATTTGTTAATTATCGCTGTTGGCAAGAATGCAGCTGTAGGTTTATGGCTAAATGTTGGGAACATTTGCAAATACACTACCAGTTAGAAAAGGACAACTGGTGGTCGGGTTGACTTTATCATACCCTACACCACTATGCGTATTTAGCGGAGCTATCCCTTAAAAGAATACGTTTATATTGTAAATTGGTGGGAGGAAAATAATTCCAAATTTAAACGAATGCCTATTTAGGCTTTAAATGTGTGGTCGTACACAAGTTCTCGTACCAACAGTTACTGATATGTCTTAGACAATAGTTAAATATAAAATCGGATGAAACATATATATACACACCTGGCTGGCTTAACCCTACACAGAAATTGACTGTATAATTCAAAATATTAACTAATTGAAACAAGTAAGAAAGCTTTAAGTCCGGCAAGGCCGATCTTCGAATATCATCCACCATTTGGAACAATTTTGGCAATATGAAAAAATAAAATACGTTGAGAATTCTGTTAATTAGGGTCTATACGACGACGTGGTCCTGCATAGGCAATTATTGTCATAAACCATTACAATATTCAAATGCGAAACTTGAATAAAAAATGTTCGGTGAATATTGTAGCTGAAATCATCATAATTCCGAGTATAGGGAGGTACCGTTATATTAGGGCTATACGAAGGCGTGGACCTCCACGGAAAATTTCATGTCATAGGCTGTAGTATTCTTTACGAACTTCAAAAACCAAATTTGAAACAATTCCGGTGAATAATGCCAGTAAAATAATCAAATACCGTATATCGGTGGGTACGGGACTATACGAAGACGTGGACCTGCACAAACAATTTTCTGTCATTACGAACTTCAAATACCAAATTTGAAACATTTTCAGTGAATAATGTCGTTTAAATCACAAAAATATATGCTATACCAAAACGTGGACCTATATCACCCACTTTCAATACCAAAAGTCCTGCAGACTTCATTTCGTTCGGAAGCTAGAGTAATTTCCACAGACGGACATACGGATAGACGACGGACATCGCTAAATCGACATAACATTTTATTTATTTTAGTCTAAAATATATATTTCGAGGCGTTACAAACGGAATGACAAACTTAATATACCCTCCATATATATCGGAGCCGACCAAATGGAAACGTAAATCCTGAAATCCACTCCATTTGGGCTGCTATTGGCCATTATTTGCATAATAAACCTGAAATTGGATTAAGGATATATATGGGAGCAATATCCAAATCTTAGCCGATCTCGATAAAATTTGGCAAAGGTATTTTCGAGCTCTATAGGATATCTTGCACCAAATATCATTGTTGTCGAATGTATATTACGAATGTGAGGGACTTAAAAGCCAAATCGGGTTAAACATATATATGGTAGCTAAAACTATATCTTAACCGATTTTTACCAAATACGATGCATTCCCTTCTAGATTGAATTCAGTCGGATGTGCCAAAATTCAGATCATTTGGACTGATATTAGCCATTTGGTGCACAATTAACTCGAAATCGGGTGGAGATATATTAAATGGAGCTATATCCAAATCTGAACCGATCTTGATAAAACTTGACAGTGATATTTCTTGGCTGTATCTGATACCAAATATCTTTGCTGTGGAGTGCATATTACAAATGTGAGGGACTCAAACTCCAAATCAGATGAAAAATATATATGGGAGCTATAGCTATATCTAAACCTATTTTCTCCAATTTTCATGTACTTGCTTCTAGACTGAATTCGGTTGGATGTGCCAAAGGTCAGTTCATTTGGACTAATATTAGTCATTTTGTGCAAAATTAATCCAAAATCGGTTGTGAGCTATATCTAAATTTAAACAGACCAACCAATTCCAATAGGGTTCGTCCTTGGGGCAAACAAAAGTTGTTTGGAAAATTTCTTCTCAATCGGATAATAAATGCGACCTGCATTCGGTTCTTAAAAATATATGGGCAGAGGGGCGGACAGAAAGACTTACATGTATAAATCTACTCAGGAATTGATTCTATGAATATCCTCAAAAATAACTATGGGTCTATCTCGCTTCTATCTCCATGTTACAAACAAATGCACAAGGACATAAAACCCTTATCACTATGTGGTGTAGGGTATGAAAAGCCGATGCAACCAAAACGAGTCGCTGTTTGATGAAGATTTTTGTCCAGAGGCATAATAGGACCATTATGAAACGAATGAATGCTAAACGAATTTTTGTTCACAAAACTTGAAGAGTAGGATATTGCCAACATTTGGTTTTAACAGGATTGAGAAAAGTGAACCGGATGCTTATTTCGGATTTTATAATAGTTTTGGTTATTTGAAACTTTGACCCCTTGTGGGGGAGGTTCTCTACCATCTTTACAGCAGATCGTGTATTGATAGAAATATTGAGATGTACGAAGTCTAAATGTCAAAATGTTGATCCTATGTGGGGGAGGTACCAGAAGGAGTGGATCGATTGCATCTTCACACCGGAACTAGGGTTAATAAAAATAATGCGATATGTGTAATTTGATATAGATAATCGGATTCTTACATCATATTTTATAAAAGTTATAATTATTCAAAACTTACACTCATTGTGGTGGAGGTACTTGATGAAGTGGACCGATATTGCATTTTCTCTCCTGTCCTAGCACTGATACAAATATTAGGATTTGCAAAATCGAATTAGCCTTCCTCTTTCTAAATCATTTTCTTTGAAAATGTTGACATTTTGTGGATGAGGTGCCAGAAGTAGTGGGTCCATATTGCCCATATCCGAACTAAATCTAAGTTTGACAGTAATATTACGATGTACCAATTTTGTATGAAATCGGATGCTTCCTTCGATAGTTAAAGTGCGCACCATAGATACAAATAGACAGACAGACGGACGGATTCGAAATGTCCTGAATAGCATTTGGCCAAAGGGGCCTAAGGTCTAAAATCATATCAAATGATATATACCCTCTGTAGCCATATGGTTGAGGTTTTTAAGTTTTAAAGATGGAGGGTGAAAAAGGGTGTTAATAAGATTTATCGGGGGAGATAATAATATATATGGGCTGAAAAAGGAATCTTCTCGGTATTTTTCTGAAAAGAGAAACACTTAAAAGTTGTCAAAAGTTTTACTCAACAAAATTTTGAATTTGACTAAAATACAATACCGAAGGAAAAAAACAACAGATTTTAGGTTTTTGACTGTCAAAAAGTTGTAAATTATTGCGCCCCATGTTAGTGTTTTCCTGTCTGACTTAAGTCAAGGTAATTCATTTGTGATCTAGCTAAAATAATGAACCAAAATTGGAATAAGTCTTTTGTTCATTTACGAAAAAGCAACCCGTAGACTTAAGCGTGGGCAAAATTCTTCTTAACCTTAAAAAATGAAACCTTTATCGATTATCGTCACGTCTACATTTTCCAAAATTTCGGTCTTGTTTTTCTTTTTTTTGACTCCTAAGTTTTAAAATGTTAACGATCGATTTACATATAATGAATTAAATTCTGAACCAATTTGCGTTGATGATATGTCGGAAATCGAGTTAACGTTGGGAATAGATTGGATGTACATTTCCCTTTCTTCCCAAAACGATTATTGATTTAAGAACAACTATACAAATATAACTTTCCCTGAGTAATATTTTTTTAGTTTGAGCTGCAGATGTTTTCAACAATCGTGATTTTGAATTTGCATCTTTGCTGTCAACACCTGTCAAATGCCTGTCATAATTGAGGCATTATTTTTAAAATCAAAATAAAATTTTGGCAGATGTTCCAAAATGCTATTTAAATACAACAACATATTACTTTCTCAGCCCTGTTACTAATGTAGCAGTGAAAGGATAATCACGACCGATTGTTTTTTTTTTTTTTTTTTTAATGCCAACAAATGGTATTTTACAATCTAAGCTTAGAACAAAAATAACGTTCAAAAAGACTTGATACCTTCTCCTTCTCTCTCTCTCTCGCTCTCTCTCTCCGATTTAAATAAGGAAAGACTTGCAAACTTTCATATTTCAACATTCCCCCCATAACAAGTTGCATAAATACATCAATTCCATCTGTCACTGTCCGCATCCTTGCGTGTGCTGACCCACCATATCTCGCGCTATTTGTAGAAAAATACAATATTTACGAAATAATAATAACAATAATATTTGGTGATAGTAATAAATTGCATTTTTCGAACATCGGTGTTGTGGAGTGACAACCAAAATAACTCGTTTCTTCGGCCATATTTGGAATTGTCGAATTGTCACATCAGGGATTTTTGTTCGCAAATTTATATAAAATGACAAAAATTACCAACTGAAGAAGAGACATATTTTTTTTGGCTAATGCCTTTTGTTGCATGCAGCTGTTTAGTAACCAGCGTTAATGTCAATGGCTTTTGCGATTCAAGGAAAGTGAATTCCTTGGCCATGCAAAAAGGCTGATGTTGCAGCAGGCTTCTGCCGGTGGTGATGCTTTGACTGGGATGCTATAACATCTGTTGTTAAAATTGCACCGCCATACATACAACATACCACAGGAGCATCGCTGGCTTCAACAGCACCAGTACCACCACTACCACCAACACATAAGTGACCACCAGTTGCCTCTTCATTGACTGCTAATCGCAAATGATATTTCAAAACGTGACCTACGAAAACAAAAGTGAAACTGATGCATGAGGCTTGGAAACTATGAGCAAAAGTCGGAGGAATCTAATAACAATGAATATGGATATATGGATGCGCTTTAGTTCGATGTTAATTCAGTGAATGAATAAATCCTGCCCATGTTTAACATTGAAATTCGTGAGACAATATTTGTTTGGTGTTTTTTTTCTCTGTTTTGTTTTTGAGGTTTTTCTGATGGTTGAGTTTGGTAGTGCGCTTCCTCCACCATGCAGCCAGCCAGCCTTTACGCTACCATGGCCTTTTGAACCGTTAGATTGATACCGAAGACCCACCTTAGTTAGGGCACAGTGGTTGGGACTAGCTTTAACATATATTGAAATACAAACTAGTAAAGAAAGTCTTAAAGTCGGGCGGGGCCGACTTTATGATATCCTACACCACTTTGCATATTTAGTAGAGCTTCAGATAACAAATAAAAGTTTTAATGGGGGATTTGAATTAAATCATATCAACTATGATTATAGTAATAATTAAAAGTCCAAAGGAACTAATATATGGGAGGAATATCCTCCTCTGAATCGATTTCTACTAAATTTCTCGAGGCATTTGCGTCTTTTCAATTCGGGCTTGTATTATCCACTTTGTGCATAATTAACTTAAAATCGGATAGATATATATAAGAGCTATATCTAAATCTGAACCGATCTCGATGAAATTTGGCAAAAACATTTCTTTACTACGGAATCCATATTTTGGCCATGTAGGGCAAATTCAACAAATCTGATGAACAATATGTATGGGAGTTATAGCTATATCTGAACCGATTTCCACCAAATTTGACATACTGGTTTCTAGACTCAATTTGTTCGTAAGTACCAAACTCCATTCCATTTGGGCTAATATTACACGTTTGCTGCACAATAAAAGACAAATCGGACGAAGATATATATGGGAGCTATATCTAAATATTAACCGATCTCGATAAAATTTAGCAAGGGTATTTCTGAGTTATATTTGATATATTGCCCCAAATATCGTTGTTACAGAGTGTAGGATAAAAATAACAAATCGGATGAACAATATATATGGGAGCTATAGCTATATCTGAACCGATTAAATTTGGCATATTTGTTTTCAGATCCAATCTGGTCGTACGTGCAAAATTCCATACTAATTGGGCTGATATTACAAGTTTGGTGCATAATATAAGAGAAATTGGACGAAAATATATGTGGGAGCTATACCTAAATTTTGACCAATTATCTTCAATTTCAACAGGGTTCGTCCTTGTGTCAAACAAATTATTTGTGCAAAATTTCATCTTAATCGGGCAATAAATGTGACCTGTACTTTGTCTACAAAAATACATGGACAGATCGACGAACAGACAGACGGACGAACGGACGGACGGAATTGAAAAAAAAATCTTCAAATCCAAATCATACTGGCTTCTAGGCTGAATTCGGTGTATTGTGGCAAAATCCATCCTATTTGGGCTGATATTACATTTGTGTGTACCATCAAATTCAAATCGGACGAAAATATATGTGGGAGCTATATCTGCATTTGGTCCAAGCTGCAAAATTGAATCTTGTGCGGACAATATATCCGTCATGTACTTTGCTTACAAAAATGCATGGAAATCGACTCAGGATGTGTTTCTATGGCAGGCCAAGGTATATAGATGCACTTTTTTATACCCTCCACTAAAGTATGAAGGGTATATGAAGTTATACATCTTAAACCCCAAAAAATATATATATCCTTGATAGGCATAAAATTCAATGTCGGTTTAGCGATGTCCGTCCGTCTGTTTATCTATCCGCCTGTGGAAATAAATCTAGCTTCCGATCGAAATGAAATGAGATTGATTAAATTTTACTCAGATATTTGTTTGTTCTGCTTTCAGTATTGATAATGGGATATGTACAGGGTGAGAAAAAAACTGCAACAAAGTCAAACGCCATAATTTTTACATATTTTTTTAAATTTATATTGAATGAAAGCCAAAATGTTGGATGTGACATCAAATTTTAGAATAAGTTTAGATTTGTTCGAATTGGTCACCTTTGGCACGAATTATGGCCTTCAAACGACCAATGAGGCCGTCACACGCTGCCTGCGGTATTTTGGCCAATTCCCGGCTAAGCACTTGCTTGAGGTGGTCGAAACTTTGGTATTTTTTAGTGCCAACCTTGCTTTCCAAAATACTCCAGACACAATGGTTCAACGGATTGGTATCCGGAGATTTTGGTGGCCATTGTGAGCTGGAAATGAAGCGAGGAACCTCATTTTGTAACCGTTCTTTGGTGGCCGAGTGCGATGGTGCTGAGTTCTGTTGGAATGTCCAAGGTACTGTTGGAATGTTCCAAGCCCAAATGTTTGCGTGCCCAAGGCTTTAATACACCCTCCAGAATATTTTGCTGATAATATTCAGCATTTATTCTGTCGATTAATACAAGAGGAGAGCGCATATCGGCTGTTACGGCGCCCCACACCATCACCATGGCCGGCGCTTGAGTTCTGGTGGTCAACCGAAGGTGCACATTTACAGCTGACCTTTTTGGCAAGTAAGCTGGGCAACTGCTGAATGTTTTCTCATTGGAGAAAACCAATTTCGGCAGCTCACCACTTTCGGCCAAGCGAAGCAACTCTCTCTTGAGTCTGTTTTCTTTCTGATGCGGTTTACGTTCTTGCTTTTTTTGGAATGTCAATGGCTTTACCCCGAGCTCATTTTTCAATATTTGTCGAATGGAATATTGCCATATGATCAGTTCACAAGCAATTCTTCGGCCCTTGCAGCGCGGTTTTCGACTAATTCGCTTTTTTACATTTCGAACCATTTCTGCTGATGTTGCTGTATTCTTCCATCCACTTCCTCGACGTCGAGCTATGCTATCATATATATTCGATTAATTTTATTGAAAAATTGTGTTCAGCGATACGTAAATAAGCAGAATTGTCGATATTGGAGTGAATATCAGACAAAAGCTACCAATGCACTCAGCGAAAGTCACATGTTGTTGCAGTCTATGGGCTGCTGGAATCATTGGACCGTACTTCTTCATGGATTCGCTACGTAATTGTGTGAAAGCGCGGACTTATTGAGAGGCGAGTTTGGTGAAGATTATATTTCATATTAAGGATAGGTCATTTGGCCGATTAGATAGCTTAAAACCTTTTATTTTGTGGGGCTTTAAGCTTCTGTCTATAGCGAATTGGTGGGCTTCTTCCCAGTCCATTTTAATATATATTTGTGATTTGATCGGGATTAAAAATATACGCTATTCAGTGGTAATTTTTTTATACCCTCCATCATAGTATGGAGGGTATATTAAGTATGCCATTCAGTTTGTAACACCTCGAAATATACATTTTAGACCCCACAAAGTATATATTCTTGATCAGCATAAAATTCGATGTCGATTTAGCGATGTCCATTCGTCTGTCCGTCTATCCGTCTGTGGAACTCACTCTAGCTTCCGAACGAATTGAAGTAGATTGATAAAATTTTACTTAAATGTATATTATGTCTGCAGGACTTTTGGTAATGAAAATGGGCCATGTAGGTCCACGTTTTGATATAGCCCCCATATAACGGTACCTCCCGATATTTTGTATTTTGATGATTTTTGCGACAATATTAATCGGAATTATTTCAAATTTGGTATTTGAAGTTCGAAATGCATGCTTCAGCCTATGAGAGAAAATTGTCTGCGCAGGTCCACGTCTTCGTATGACCCCCATATAACGGTACCTTCGGATATTCGGTTCTTTGTTGATTTTATCGACATTATTTGCCGGAATTGTTTCAAAATTGGTATTTGCAGTTCGAAATGCATGCTACAGCCTAAGAGAGAAAATTGTCTGTGAAGGTCCACGTCTTCGTATAGCCCCCACACAACGGCACCTTCCGATATTCGGTATTTTGATGATTTGAGCAATATTATTCACCGATTTTGTTTGTTAGGTTTCGCATTTGAATATTGTAATGGCTTATGACAAAAGTTACCTATGCAGGTCCATGTCGTCGTATAGACCCTAATGTAACAGCTACGATCGGTATTTTTAAGATTTTAACAGAATTTTTAACGGATTTTATTGTTTTTGAGAATTGCCAAATTCGTTCCAAATGGTGGAGGGTATTCCAAGTTCGGCCTGGCCGGACTTACAGCTTTTGTACTTGTTTTTTTTTTTTTACATTTTTATTTTACCCGCTAAATATTATCCGATGACCATCCAAATTAGCAGGCTTCTGCCCAGCCCTAAGCTATATCTCCATGGTAAATTTCGATTGGTCTATAATTGTGGCCTGTAGAGCAACAGCAAAATCAAGATTTTTTTCTGTTTTTGGTCCATTTCATCTCGATCATCTCGATGAATAATCGACTTTTATTCTGATCCTATTGCCACCTTCATTTCCAATCTCGTGAGGATCGAGCCATAATTGCGACCTTTAGCTTCATTACAAATTAACATGGTCAGACGGACGGAAAAACATAGGTAGATCGACTCAGCTCGGCGAGTAAGGAATAGTTTTTCTATATCGTGGATCAATATTTCGAGGTGTTACATAATTTTTGGCCGAACCAAACTTATAATACCTCCAACACATTGTAGGGTATAAAAACAACGACATTGTTCAGGACATTAACATTTCTTTAATACACTGTGCCACATATCTCAAACCACCAGCACTGAATGAAAACAAAGAAATCGGTTAACCTTTTGCAGCTACCCTGGTGGCTGGATGCCTTCTATCCTTTGAGATGTGCAATAGATGTTGGCTGATGTTGCCATTCGAACTGCAAAACACAACACAATGGAGGGTTTTTTGTTTTCTTTTCTTCTTCTTCTTTCGATTTGCAATGACACAGCCTACTACCATCATCGTCATCATTATTGCCGTTGATATGATCAAATTTTATTTATTTTATAAGAAACAAAAATGTTTTGAAGTCAAATTCCGTTTGGCAATGATACCCCGGCTGCGAAACTTACCTTAGAGACATGTAGTGTGGAGGGGAACTACCACTTTCATGCTGATATAACGGGTAACAGCATCCTTTGCAGGCTAACGTCATGCCTTCCCCTTTGCGGTCTGGCGTTAATTTATGATGCACACCTGTATTTCTGATTACATTTGTCTTGGAGTTCATTGATGCTCAACGAGGATGATGGCTACCATGGCCACGATGCTGGCACATCCTAAAATTTTATTCGATATTTTTCACTTGACAGCGAGTACAAAAGAGTAAGGCAAGCGATCGCAAAGGTCGTGTGGGAATTTTTCTTGTTTTTTTTCTCATTTTTCGAATTTAGTTTTCCCTGGTGTTTTCATGTATCTTTGGATTTTGCAGATTTTAAATGCTTGTCTTCTATTTATTTAGTCAGTTGTTTTTTTTTCTCCTGGCCAGTAATGAAGAAAGTGGTCTTTTGGCATTTTACAAAAATCTACAAAAACCCGCATCGATTAAGTTGTTTTCCAGAGATGTTTCTTTTCGCCTTTCCTTGCAACCCAAAACATTGTTGGACGATGTTTAACTTTTAAATTAACAGCCAAGTGTTAATCAATCTTAAAGAGCCGAGTGATGTGTTGTTGCCTCTGTGTGGAAGCTAAAGACACGTCAGTTTGATGCCAACAAATCAATCTAAAGGGTTTTAATTAAATATTTTGTGGTTTTGACGGGTAAACTCGCTAGAAATTGTTTGCCGATTGATAAGATTGAGTGAGCAGTACAAATTTTCTAAATTGAATTTGGAAATTCAATTTGATAGGAATGGTAAAAATTCAATTAATCACAAACTAATTTGGCGAAACTAAATTAAATTTGTATGGTTTCACTGAAGATTCTTCACAGTAGAAAGTTAGATATTTTTGAGTTTAAGAATAGCTGTTGGTGTGTTTTTTAAAACTGTGGGAGATTGTTACAATATTTAGGGTCTGATTATCTATAAATAAGCATCACAAATGAGTTTTTGTTTCAAACATTTAATTTATTTAAAGATTAATCCAAATTTTTGAAAAGCTTATTGGAATGGTGACTTTCTTCCGAAATTACTTTTGTATGGCCACATAGAAATAGACTGATATTTGTGGAACACAAGAAGTTAAATCCTTGTTACTTGGAGCCTTATACAAATTAAGTTGAGATTATGAAGTAAATAAATACGTCAAACAATGCTTGATTTGTAGAACTTAGAAAGTCTGATTTACAAAAAAAAAAAAAAAAAAAAAAAAAAAAAAAAAAACTGAAAGGGTGACTTTTAGAATTTTAGAAAACTTTTTCAAAAACACACTAAATTCAGAACCATTAAAAACTGTAAGTTAAGCCGGGTCGAACTTTGGATACCCTCCACCATTTGGAACGAATTTGGCAATTTAAAAAAAAAATCAGTTAAAAATTCCGTTAAAACTTTAAAAATACCGAATGTATCCGTTATATTAGGGTCTATACGACGACGTGGACCTGCATAAGCAAGCTTCGTCATAAGCCATTATAATACTCAAATGCGAAACTTGAGCACAATTCTGTGTATAATGTCGATAAAATCATCAAATTACCGAATATCGGGAGGTACCGTTATATGGGGGCTATACGAAGACGTGGACCTGAATAGTCAATTTTCTGTCATAGGCTGAGTATCGATTACGAACCTCAAATACCAAAGTTGAAACAATTCCGGTGAATAATGTCGCTAAAATCATCAAAATACAGAATATCGGTAGGTGCCGTTATATGGGGCGAAGGCGTGGAGCTGCACAGACAATTTTCTGTCATAGGCTGTAGTATCTATTATGAACTTCAAATACCAAATGTGAAAAAATTCCGGTAAATAATGTCGCTTAAATCGCCAAAATACTGAAAATAGGGAGGTACCATTACCAAAACATGGACTTAGATGGCCCATTTTCCATACTAAAAGTCCTGCAGACATAATATACATATGAGCAAATTTTTATCGACCTACTTCATTTCATTCGGAAGCTAGAGTGATTTCCACAGACTGATAGACGTAAGGACATCGTTAAATCGACATGAAATTTTATGCTGATCAAGAATATAAATGCTTTGTGGGGTCTAAAATGTATATTTCGATGTGTTACAAACGGAATTACAAATGCATGACATTTTTATACCCTCCACCTTGGAAAGGAGGGTATATTAACTTTGTCATTCCGTTTGTAACATCCTTAAATATTCGTCTTAGACCCCATAAAGTATATATATTCATAATCAGCATAAAATTCTAAGTTGATTTAACGTTGTACGTCTGTCTGTCTGTCCGTCCGTCTCTCTCTGTCTGTCCGTCTGTCTGTTGAAATCACGATACAGCCCACATTATTTGACGTAGAGGGCCAAAATTTAGCAGAGCTATTCGCATTGTGTCTAGGATGGTTGGTATTGAAAATGAGATATATCGGTCCACGTTTTGGTATAGTCCCCATATAACGGTACCTCCCGATATTCGGTATTTTGATGATTTATGTCACATTTTTTCACGGATTTGTCTAAAAATTGGTATTTGTAGGTCATAACGGGTCCCTGTACGTGTGGCAAAACATTGCATGTATAGGTCCACGTTTTGGTATAGGTATATATATAGGTATATAAAGGTACCTCCCGGTATTTTAATTATTTTTGCCACATTTTTTCACGGATTTGTCTAAAAATTTGTATTTGCTGGTCATAATGGTTTCCAGCTCCGGTGGCGAAACATTGCATGTATGGGTCCATGATTTGGTATAGCCCCCATATAACGGTATTCGGTATTTTGATGGTTTTTGTCACATTTTTTCACTGATTTGTCTAAAAATTGGTATTTGTGAGTCATATTGGGTCCTAGTTCGTATGGCGAAACATTGTAATTATAGGTCCACGGTTTGGTATAGCCCCCATATAACGGTATCACCCGATATTCGGTAATTTGATGATTTTTGCCACATTTTTTTCACGTATTTGTCTGAAAATTTGTATTTGCTGGTCATAATGGTTTCCAGCTCCGGTGGCGAAACATTGCATGTATGGGTCCATGATTTGGTATAGCCTCCATATAACGGTACCCTCCGATATTGGGTATTTTGATGGTTTTTGCCACATTTCTTCTAATGTTTCCTTTACCCTAAGGTGGAGGGTATTAAAAGTTTGGCCCGGCCGAACTTAATGTTCTTTTACTTGTTAGTGTTGAAGTTATTAGGATTTCCTTTATTTAAATCCACAATTCTCTTTCGAAGTGTTTTTCGATCAGGAAGTCCTTAAATACATACATGAAAAATCAACAAGTTTTGTCTAGGCAAATATTTCCCAAAGGTCCATGATTTTCGATCAAGATGTCCTTGAAAATATTTTTGAACAAAATCGACGATTTGTGGTCATTTACACGATTTTTTGCACAAAGTGCTTGAAAAACTGTTAATAAAAATTGGAACTGGTTAACGTTTAATATATTCAATTATACCTCAGTCATATGGCTACTGAGAGTATAAATCATTTGATATTACCAAAAATCAGATTCATCGATCCCAGGTTTCTTCGGGCGATATATATTTCGGGTCATTTGGAGTTGGGGTGTTCGTTCGTCCGTCCATCCTTCTGTCTGGCTGGCTTGCTGGTGCGCAAATAATCCTTATAGAGTATCCGATGTCGTCCCAAATTTTTACTTCTCAATATTATTATCAAACATGGATGGAGGTGAGGGAAGGAAAATTTTGGTCCATTTCTTCTGGTACCTACGCTAAAAAGGAAAGAGTAAGGGTCATCATTTTTTTCTTCAAACGTTGCAAATCTTATTATTTGTATTAGTGCTAGGTCAAGTGCAAAAAAGGGCAATATCGATCCACTCCCTTTATACCCCAGAGGATAAAAATCTTAAATAATCACAACGCTTAAAAATTGTGGAGGAAAGTCCAATTATCTTCAAATTTCACATATCTCTATTAACTCTAGTGGTCCGCCTTCGTGGAATAGATCAGATATGAGTCCAATTGTGTTAAAGTTTCACATATTTCAATATTTCTACCAACTTTAGGTCTAGAGATGGAATAGATTATACCACTACTTCTGGTACCTCCCTACGACAGGTCTGAAAATCTGGGAAAAAATTTTTTTCTTACAAATCAAAGGGTCTTTTCAAAATATTCTTAAAAAATGGCATGGCAATATTTGAAAAATATTTGTTGAAAAATTATTGGTAGGTTGTAAGTTCGATAAAAATATAGGATTTTAGTAAGGTTTTTAAAAATAATTCTTAAAAATTATAGCACCTGGTCAAATTTAACAGACTTATTAAAATGTGCAAAACTTAAACCATATCCGGGACTTTTTTCTCATAATACGAAAAATTAAAAAATCTTCATATGATTTTGGTAGTCGGAAAAAATTAGGGACCCATGTTGTCAATTATGATTTTTTTTTAATTTTGTTGTTTCTAGTGGAGGTACCAAAAAGGCTGGCTTGATATATTCCATTTGCTAAGTTCGAAGAACTTTAAGGACATATTTTGATTATTGTAGAATGTATTCAACATTTACCAAGTCGTATCGAATACTTCTTTCGAGTGAGACGACCGACCGACGTGGTCATTGTAAATTTGTTTCTCTACTCGTCACAGGTTCAATATTCCATATTTACAAAAACTAAAAGTTGCTCTGATTTGTGCTAGACTTTCTTGTCCTTACATCACTTAAATTGAAAAATCAGCTAAAAACAAAACTTACCATAATTAAATTAGAATTTTTTATTGAAATTAAGAAAATAACGATTTTGCACAGATTGAATTTTTTTTTTTATTTTTTTTTTGTGAAAAATCCGTGCAGACTTTTTGCCTAATTGGTCAAATTAAAAAAAAAAAACGGCCTTTTTACAACATTCAAAGATTGCAATTCCAATAGATATTACATAGTATAAAAATCATTAATATTTTCCGTTTATGCCGTTGTTTTTTTAAACAATGTCTTTATTTAATTTTTGTGGCTCGTGGTGTAATTTAAATAATATTTTAAACAAGAGCA